CATTCACTTCTCCGAAGACATCGAATCCATCCCCAAATCTCATCGACACTCTTCGCGCCGTAGCGGTACCACGACCAATTCCGAGCTGCGCAAAGTGCTGCTCTCTTCCGTTCGGGATAAAAATATCATGAGGAACGGGAGAGAAAGCCGGCACGGACGCCATAGGAAGCACAGCAGCACCAACGTCATCCGCAACAATATCCATGACGTCGACGAGGACAAGGGCAACAATTCCTATGCCTTTGGAGAAGAGTTCGAGACGAACGCACCAGGTTCTGCCTCTGGAACGATATCCTCCATCCCTGATGACGCAATTGGATGGTTCGAAAGCACAAACAGCCATGGGAATTGCCACCGTCACTATCATAATTGCTACAACTATGGAAGGAAGAACCGCATGAACGACTATGGTAGCACCAGCACCCACAAGAGCAAACACAAGTTCTGGCTCCGGGGAGTCGTATCACAATAGGGAATGAAAAGCAAACAAACAAGCAAGCAAATCGTTGCTGGCGATTACACATCCCTGTCATTTTTKCCCTCTGATCAAATCCTTTCCATACTTTGTTGTCCGATTCGTCAACCTCTTTGCTCTGTCGTTATAGCACATCATGATGCGTCATACATGGAATTCCTGTTTTTCAAATTGTATTTGTTGGATAAATTTTTAAGTCGATTCCATTCACACTCACAAAAATAAAGCAATCCAACCAAAGCGAACCCAGCCAAGCCAATCCAAKCCAATCCGGAAACAGAACAAAGGAAAACAATCCAAAGCGAAGCAAAGCCAAACCTATTCGGGCAAACCAACCGACATCGTATCTGCTTCGTGTTGACAAGCCTTCACAACATTGCAGCTTTCTGCCAACGTAGGAAGGAGCGAAATGAAAAGTGCGAGCAATTCGATAGAAATGTATGTGATGTACGAAAGTTCCATCAACTGATCGTTTTCTCTCAAAAAATGATTCTATATTTCAATTACCAATATAAACTTGTAAATTATGACTCCCTAGGCATATTGTTTTTCCATTATAATGCAAATCCTCTTTGAAAGACAAGATCAAACTGTGAAAGTATCTCCGCAATCACGAGAGTAATCTGCTACATAGGCTTTCGTCATCTATAATTCAAATCCATGTGAGTTGGCATTGCCTTTCTTCGCCTCTCGTTTCTTATTATGTTCCGCTCCGAAACTTGGTTGTTTTGTTACCTCGAAGCAGTTCTTCTTCTTGCTGCTCTGGCAATCCGCTCGGCGCCCATTCTAGCCCCCGCAATGTTTCGAGCGCTCGGGCCCAGTTCCAGTTCGGCGAGGCCTCCCGCCACGAAAATATTGGTGCTGGTTGTTGTGCTCCCCATCCGTGGTTTCCACAGCAGCGATTCGTCCACCAGGGGGTATCCGCACGGCCCAAGGGGTAGGCTGGCACTAGCTGCCAACGGCGAAAGGATGCGGTTCCCTGGAACCTTTTTTCCGAGTCCGGTGGCCAGAATGATTTCGTCGAGGGGGCCGACGGTCTCCCCGTTGGTGAGCTCCAGTGTATACGTGCTCCCGGACGCTGTTTGGGCACCACCGGTGGCCTCGTTGTTCCTCGACGCCCTTGCCACACTCGCAACGTACCAGCTAATGGACCCTTCCCCCATGGCTTTTTCGAGGCTGTTAGTACCGGCACGGGTCATATAAGAAGGGACGGTACCCGGAATCCGTTCCCCGGCGATGATCCTGCGACGCTCGGCTGGGCTTTCCACCATACCAAATTTTCGCTGGCGCTTGGTCAGGCCCTTCCCGCCGTGGTCGAGGCTCAACTGGGCGAGCTGCTGGGTCATCATCCAGTCCTGGTGGGTATCGAACTGTTGTTCCCGGACTCTGTGGCGGCTGACGATGTGGACCAACGCCTTCTTCTCGTCCCTGCTGTTTTTTGACGCAATCTGCAAGGCCTTGTGGACAGCAGATATCCCCCCCCCAATGATTGCTACATGGCGTGGTTCATGGCGATCGAAATCGTCCCAGTTGGGGTCTGTGTTTGCCTTGTACAATGGATTTGTTTTTGCATCCGGGGGATCGCCGTTCGGGAGTTGCAGCAAGTGATAAATACTTTTGTCGTAGTTGTAACCATTGTTCTCCGACGTAAGATGGGTAACCCACTCTGGGACGGCCGGATCGTCGTTTCCCACCGCCAGAACGATGTTGTCGGCAGACACAATGGTCGTACCAGGGGGAGGGGATTCCCTCACGCCACCGGAAGCGTTGGCATCCGCATCGACGCCAGAAGAATTTCGTACGACCACTCGGAGGGGCATAGGTTTGTTGCCGCCGTCTTCGTCACAAACATCTATAGATTCTACTCTTCCTCTGAAATGGAAATCCATCAGCTTGTACTTGTCAATCACATTGTCGCAGTGGTCGTTGAACATTTTCAGGGACGGACGCTGGTAGTCTCGCCCTACCGTGGTGGTATCTGGATTTTCAGCGTTTGGGTATCCGTTCGATGTCCCCAATCCGTGCTTGCTCCGGTGCTGGTTGTTTTTCGATTGGCGCTTCGCYTTTTTCGAAAGAGGTTTCTGTTTTTGTTTCTGTTTGTTGCCGTTGTGCCCGTACCCAGACGCAAAGGCCCTGAGACCCTCTGCCGGGATGTCCAGATGGAATCCAACGGCAGATCTCAAAAAAGTCATTCCCGTGGCTCGGGTTCGTTCCTTCCAGCTATAGAGGAGTTCTTGTTGTTCGTCCACAATGAGCAGGCTGTTGTTGCCGTTGGTGTTGCCATCGATGATGCCCTCTCCTATTAGTCGCGAAGCAATGCTCACGCCGTGGATGCCGCCACCAACAACCAGCCACTTATAGTGTCTGTGCGGAGGGGAGTCACTCTCAGTTCGCATCTTCTCRCGGAAACCCTCGATTTCATGGTTGGAAAACGCTGCGAGAACAACCGAGCCGTCGCGATACCTCGTTCGTCCCGTCGGCGATAGGGAGAACGAAACCGAAACCCGTACTGAAAACGATAGGGACAGAACGATCCAGCAACATATCAACAAGAAGCAAGGAAATTCCCTCATTGCAATATACTGATGTGTAAGTGGTGTTTTAGGATTGCTTAGTGCCATTGCATCCATGATCGAAACCGCTCCGGTTTGCGAAGTTTTGTTGTCCGAGATTAAAAACGAGTGCGTACCGGGACGTACGTACGCGATCTAACCATTATCATAGTAGCCAAGGGTTGGTTCCAAGCAGGGCAAAAACTCGTGACAAACGCATGGTCATTTTCAGTCTGACTCCTTTGACTAAAGTCTCGAACTCTTACTAGTCCTATTGGATGATTCCCGTTAATCTAGATTGACTAGATTTGATAGACGGACGGACAAAAAATGAGGTCTAAATTGTCTATCTAGTACAGTAGTCATTTTTGAGAGACCCTCTAACCCCCATTCAAAACTGTCTAGATTTAGACTGGAATCCACATGCAAATTAAATTTCAAGTCCTTTGATGTTTTTTGTAGTACTGTAGTAACCCCCTCTTTTTAGTCACCAGTACTACTAGTAGTACTASTAGTAGTAGTAGTGCATTGTTGTTGAAATAGTAGTACYACTAGTAGTAGTAGYAGSAGKASTACTACTASTAGYAGYAGTRGTRSTASTAGYWRSTAGTAGTAKTAYTASTAGTAGTAGTAKTAGTATTAGTAGTAGTATTAGTAGTATTAGTAGTATTAGTATTAGTAGTAGTAGTAGTAGTAGTAGTAGTAGTAGTAGTAGTAGTAGTAGTAGTAGTAGTAGTAGTAGTAGTAGTAGTAGTAGTAGTAGTAGTAGTA